GGAAAACTGTGTGTTGTGAATGTAGCCTGCAAACCTCTTTAGTCTCCGTTAATACAGAAGAAATTAGAAATATAACAACAACATGTTGATGTGATGCTCACTTAATAAATAAATACTGGTAGTTGGGAATAATATTTGGGGAGGATCTCTTCTCTGTGGCAGCAGCAGGTATTAAAAGCACAAACAGAGAAACATAAATGTTTACATGTTTTCCCCCCATCTAGAAAAAAGAGTCAGCCATCATGTTGTTTAATTTGACCTGACAGTCACGTGTCTGTGATCATATTCGGGCCACAGATCTTCTGCTGGTTCCAGACTTTTATTGTGGAAGTTTGTCTTAAATGATGCACAAGACATGAAGAATATTTCCATTTGATGGAACTGTGCCTTTATTTTACCAGGCTCATTAAATAACAGGTTCTTATTCAGACTAACGGCCTGGCAGGAGACAAAGGCCTCCTTTGAATGGATACTGGGATTAAATAAAACAGACGGAGGAGCTATAGAAAGTATCCTGACTGCAAACATCACTACACAGAGCCCAAAGGATGAGAAAGGACAGTACCACCCAGCCACAGTTGGTTCATCCTGCTGCTGTCTGGGTAGAGATCTGCTGTCGCAGCACCAGCTTCTTCCCCCAGACTGAAAGACTTTGTAGTTTCCAATACTTATGCATTTGATTCATAGCAGTTCAAAATAGTACTGTAGCAGCAGGACTGAGGGTCAGTGACCTTCTACGGAGAAGAGCAGTGATTGGTGGTTATGTAACGACTGAACCCTTCTATAAATTTGACCTCTCACCCCTTGTTTTGTTACCTCAAGATAGCACTGTACCCTTCTATGGGTTTGACCTTTTACTATGCAGACTCAAACTATTCTATGGTACCCAACAGATACCTAAACACATCCTATATAAGCTGTGTTTGATGTACAGAGAGACAGAGTGGCCATCGGGCTGGGTCTCTCTCCAAGCTGCTTCCATTTCCAATCAGCAGATACAGCCAGTGCCACATGTGAGCAAAAATCCCCTTGAAACAGCTGAGATTGGGCAGGACAAACAGAATAGGCAGCAGCCTTGCTTGTCCAATAAACAGGCTGTAAGCACAGTGGCAGACACACTAGATGGCGCCAGAGCCCACTCAGACATAACTTAGTGCCTCCTGACTGTATTTCACCATTTGAAATGGAAACTGCAGTCTCGTAACTTTTAACCTCTCTGGATGTTCGGTCAGAACAATGCAAAAATAAATAATAAGATCGCATCCCATCAAGTTAATGGGACAGTTCTCTGCTTCACTGTGTGTTATTGCAAGCATTATTTTGTCATAGTCAGTTAAAGGTTGAGACTCACTCACTGATGTGTGCGACAGGCCGGCCCTTCCCCAGGGTCCACCCAGCCTCCTCTCCACCCTCTCAGTCAGATTTTACATGTCCACTCTTTCTCCACGTCTGAGGATTCGGACAATCCGCCCGCTGATGTCCAGTTTTTCTGCAAATTGTGGGAGACATTCGTATCTTAACCGCCGTTAACCCCTCTCTCTAAGCACCCTCTCCCACAGCCCCCTCATCGTTGCCGGCCAGAGAGAGGTTCTTTTTCTTGGCTTAGGTCGGTGAGGGCTTTTTAGATCCTGTGATTTCTGGCTTTATCCGGCTCAGGAGATCTTCACCGTCACACGTGCTAGGAAGGCCTCATCTCTGACAGTACTTCAACCCCGGTTCTCCAGTCAGCCCCTGCTTGATCGTCGTTGCTCCTAACCTGGTGCCGCCTCATCATTCAAGCTCCTGAGTAATCTGTGTCATCACTGTTTCCCTGTACTTTGTTTTACCTGCGTCTTTCCCTGTCTGTCTGTCTTCCCTCCAGGTTCAGTCACCTCCGTCCTCTGTTCTGTCGGCTGGGCTCACCACCCTGCCCTCTCCCCTCGGACCTCCTCCACGGCGTCCTCCCGGCTCTTCCCCTGTGCCTAGCCAGTCAGCCTGCTATTGTTATTGAATAACCCAGAATATGATCACGGTGTCTTTGGATTCATTAGACTATATGTTGAAATTATATAACTCATATCTAATTTTACTTTAGCTCAGTATTAGGCTTTCTGTTTATTTCCTCTTCTGATATACTCCATACATTTTATTTAAGTCCAATCACTCGTCATCAATCGATCACTGCGTTCAATCACATCAATCCAACCATTTTTTTTAGCACAGCAGCTTTCATTTATTCTTTCATCAGCTGATTTCACCCACAGAGCCGCCGTTTGCTTTGATCAGAAGTAGTCGGTGAGATGGCTGGATGTGCAGGCTTTATTTTCCTTTGCTTGCTTCATTAGAGACTTTAGTGCAGTTTTAGTGACTTGACACAAACTGAACGTAGCCAAAATTGAAGCAACTCTCTTTGTGTCCTGAATGATGAGACCACGATCGACGGACCCGATTTAGTACAAAATAGAAGAAATGGACACAATCTGGAAAGAGCGTTTACACTTTTTGTTGAAAATACTTGTTGCTTGAGTGTTTTACATTAATGTATTACTTTGAAAAAAATATTTTCACCTATATGTATACAAAGTGTATAATAAATACCAAATACGTATATCAAAAAATTTAATATGGTTTAAAAAGCTGGAACCAGGTCCCAACATGCAACACAGAGTGACGTATGGCGCAAAGTAACTTCATATTTCCATTAGCTAAAATGCATCATAGATAAATATCTTAATCTCTCCAATACTATCAACATCTGAAGAAATAAAAACAAAAAAAAACTTGCCTTTGTGATATTTATTAAAGTAAGAACAACAGAGTGAATCAGCTGAAGGGCAGAGCTCATACACCAGAGAGTCTGACCCAGAGAAACAGAGAAGACATTTAATGCTAGAGAATAATTGTGGAGTCCAACAGAAAAGCCTTTCTCAGCCTTGAACCACAGTGGAAACTCCTTTCTCACAGGAAAGCATGAAACAAAACAATCTCACAGAAGGTCATTATATCAAAACACTGGTACACTTTGTGGAAATTATAACACCACATAAGATGAGCAAAGAACATAAAGTAATGACATATAGAGGATTATTAAAAGTACAAACAGGTAAAATCTATTCGTTTCTATTACAGTTTCCCGTTTGGCCGTCACGTGGTCACATTAAGTTTATAACAAACTGTCAGTTAATCAATTAATGCTCTCATCTTACTGTTTAAGCAGACACATCATTAGCAGTGTCCTGGTGTCTCTTTCAATTATTTTGTTGTTCCTCAGATGCCTTTTTTGGAGGAGGATAGTGACCTTGTTTGTGTAAAAGCACTCGCGGAGGTCCTTCCGTTTCGTTCAAATACAAGATTTATTACTAAAAAAAAATACCGACAAATTCTCCATGGTTGACTTTCAACAGAAGCTATGAACTTAAACTCTTCAGATAATATTACTATACGCTTAAAAAACTAATCGGTTTCAGTCACTCTCTCTCATTATACCTGTGAAATGACCTGGTGAGGAAGAGTCAAGGTAATCATTTTTACCAAGTTAATAGGTATTTCAAAAGTTTCCTAACTCAAAATCCATAGTCTATATGTCTTGATCTCAAAATTTGGATACGTGATGCCAAGGGTAGCCAGTGAAGGTCATGAAGTACCGGAGTAATGTGAACAGAACGCCTGGTGGAGGTGAGAACTCTGCTGAGTTTTGATTAATATGGAAACCATCAATATAGAAGGACTGGTCCACCCTTTTGACTGAGGCAGCAGAGCCGATCACTAACATCTCAGTTTTATTGTCATTTAATTTGAGGAAGTTAAGGGACATCCAATGCTTGATGTCCCTGATACATGCATTGAGTGAGTCAGGCAGGGATGGCCTATCGGAGCTGGTGGTGAAATAAATTTGGATGTCATCAGCATAGCAATGGAATTGAAGTCCATGCCTGCCTATGATGTTACCAAGTGGGTGTATATAGATGAACAATAGTGGACCAAGAACTGAACCTTGAGGAACACCCTGTGTAAGTGAAATCGTGGCAGAATTATGACCTTGTATGCTGATATAATACTTTCTGTCGCTAATATAGGAAATAAGCCAGGAAAGAGCGGAACCAGTGATGCTGATATCAGAAAGCCGAGAAATAAGTAGTTCATGGCAGAATGGCAGTTTATCAACCCTGAATCCATGGACAAAAGAATGTCGTTAACAACACGCAGAAGAGCAATTTCAGTGCTATGAGATGGGCAAAAACCTGACTGAAAAGGTTCAAAAAGACCATTTATATCCAAATAAGATCACAATAGTGAAGCAACAACCTTTTCAAGGATTTTGCTTAAAAATATTAAATTGGATATTGGTCTGTAATTGTCCATGTTTAGATGATCAAGGCCAGGTTTTTTAAGAATGGGGCTACAGAGAGGAATCATAACGGTCATCAATGTGATTTGAAAGTAATAAAAGCACAATGTTAATTCCATATTATACCATTAGTATAATATTATAATTTCATATGGTTTACCACTAGTATAAGCCTAATATTATTTCAGTGGGTTATTAAATCAATAAGTCATATTGATTTAATCATATTATTAAATTGTGCAAGAAGCACAGTCTACATCTTTTACAGGCCTACTGCCACCGGCTTTACCAGAGGAGAGACCTCTTATTTCAGCTGATAAACAATCGGTATGAGTATTTAGTAGTGTTGTTGATGGATTCAGGTCCAAATCTCATTTTACAGTCAACCATGTGAATTCTACATCTAGTGCTATAAAAATGCAGAGACTGCCCTCTACTGGTTGAAACCTGGCTACTGCAGTTTCACTATTGGCTGATAAAACCTCCAGACTGACGCTTTCCAGCTCTTTCCAAATCAAACTTCCTCAGCTGTCATCACATGACGTTAATCCAGCACAGTCACATGATAACAGGTGGTGGTATTTAGGGCAGAAGGAAACAGCTAGCTCGGCTCTGTGAAAAATGTCACAGTGACGCATTGTGGATGCATTTGTGTCTTCTAAGGTTTCTCCTGTCGGTAAAAGATTTGCCACATTGGCCACAACTGTACGGTTTCTCTCCAGTGTGAACACGTTGGTGCTTTTTTAGATGAGCTGATGTAGTGAAAGTTTTTCCACACTGTTCACACCAGTACGGTTTCTCTCCAGTGTGAACACGTTGGTGGATTTGAAGTTCACCTGATGTAGTGAAAGTTTTTCCACACTGTTCACACCAGTATGGTTTCTCTCCAGTGTGAACACGTCGGTGCTTTTGTAGGTGAGCTGATTGAGTGAAAGTTTTTCCACACTGTTCACACCAGTATGGTTTCTCTCCAGTGTGAACACGTTGGTGGATTTTTAGATGAGCTGATGTAGTGCAAGTTTTTCCACACTGTTCACACCAGTAAGGTTCTCTTCAGTGTGAACACGTTGGTGCTTTTTAGGTGAGCTGATTGAGTGAAAGTTTTCCCACACTGTTCACACCAGTATGGTTTCTCTCCAGTGTGAACACGTTGGTGGATTTGAAGTTCACCTGATGTAGTGAATGTTTTTCCACACTGTTCACACCAGTATGGTTTCTCTCCAGTGTGAACACGTTGGTGGATTTGAAGTTCACCTGATGTAGTGAAAGTTTTTCCACACTGTTCACACCAGTACAGTTTCTCTCCAGTGTGAACACGTTGGTGTTTTTTTAAGTTACCTGATGTAGTGAAAGTTTTCCCACACTGTTCACACCAGTACGGTTTCTCTCCAGTGTGAACACGTTGGTGCTCTTTTAGGTGACCTGATCGAGTGAAAGTTTTCCCACACTGTTCACAGCCGTACAGTTTCTCGCCAGTGTGAACACGTTGGTGGGTTTTTAGGTGACACAATTGAGTGAAAGTTTTCCCACACTGTTCACAGCTGTACAGTTTCTCTCCAGTGTGAACACGTTGGTGGGTTTTTAGGTGACACAATTGAGTGAAAGTTTTCCCACACTGTTCACAGCCGTACAGTTTCTCGCCAGTGTGAACACGTTGGTGGGTTTTTAGGTGACACGATTGAGTGAAAGTTTTCCCACACTGTTCACAGCCATACAGTTTCTCGCCAGTGTGAACACGTTGGTGGGTTTTTAGGTGACTCAATTGAGTGAAAGTTTTCCCACACTGGTCACAGCTGTACGGTTTCTCTCCAGTGTGAACTCGCTGGTGGATTTTTAGCTCACCTGATGTTTTGAAGGATTTGTCACAGTGCTGACAGCTGTGATGTTTGAGTCCCTCTCTTCTTGTCCTCTATATCAACAGAAAGAAAAACAGTGAGATATAGAGCGAGCTATCAAAAACCATAAATGACAGAGCACATCATTGAAATCACATTAACCTACTGTACCACATACTAAGTATGTACTGTCTATCACACTCAGTCATACACAATCAGTAAATAAATGATCAGTATGTTATTACCATCAATGCCTGACTGTTCACACTGAAGTACTCAAGCAAATTGTGTAAAGGCTACCGTTTGTTTTTCACGTTTGAGCTATAGAAGAATCAGGAATTAAGGTAAAACTAGAAATTTATATTTCCTGTAGAAAGTTTGAAAAGACAGCTGGAATTATTTTGAAAGCATTGCAGGAATTGCACAAGAGTAGGGATGGGGATTGTTCATTTTTATTGATACCCTTATTGAGACTGCTTAACAATCTGATTTTTTAGCAATACATCTATCAATACTCATCAACAATCATTTGGTAATGGTTATTTGGTAAGACCAGACACAACAGGCATGAGGTAAGCCTGCACAGTGTGAGGACAATATTCAATATGAGATATGTTTGATATTGAGATGACATGGCTTGCGATAAATAAACATATATTGAAGTGTGCATATTAGCTGCCTGGTTGTTTTTACATTCATTTTTAGGATTAGAATTTAGTGTTTTAAATACAGCTAAATGTTGTTTCTACAGCAGCAATATTAATGTTTGCAGCAGCAAAGTATATACATTTTCAAGTGGAATTTTATTGTGGCCAGCCTAAGGCACACCTGTCCACTACCCATGGTGTCTGATCAGCATCTTGATATGCCACACCTGTGAGGTGGATGGATTACTGGGCACATACTGAATACGTTGTACATTACATAGAGGGCACTGGAAGTCAAACATGGCACCTAATGGCAGGAAAGAATGGCTGCTCTACATAAAGATGGCCGAGGCTATAAAAAGACTGCCAAGACCCTGAAACAGAGCAGCAGCACGGTGGCCAAGACCATACAGCAGTTCAACAGGAGGGGATCCACTCAGAACAGGCCTCGCTGTGGTCGACCAAAGAAGTTGAGTGCACCTGCTCAGCGTCATATCCAGACGTTGTATTTTTTTTGTCTTGTTGGGAAATAGACATACGAGTCCAGATCTAAACCCTACTGAGCATCTGTGGGGCCTCAAATGGAAAGTGGAGGAGCGCAAGGTCTCCAACATCCACCAGCTCCGTGATGTTGTCATAGAGGAGTGGAAGAGGACTCCAGTGGGAACCTGTGAAGCTCTGCTGAACTCCACGCCCAAAAGGGTTAAGAAAGTGCTGGAAAATAATGGTGGCCACACAGAATACTGACACTTTGAGCCCAATTTGGACATTTTTTCCATTTTTTTGGAAATTTTTACTTCTTCAGTTTTGTCTCATGAAATTAAATAATCAAATATTTACAATAAATGTAAGATTCTGTATGTTATAGAACCTGCTCCTCTCCCATCTCCGCCATGTCTTTGTCGACCCCAGTTTCAGAGTCCAGTGACCTCCTTCAGGAGTAACTACGTGACGTCGGGTGTAACTTCCTAATTAACCCGTACTACGAAAGTTGGATAGGCGTTACCCGAGGTCTGTTGCCACCGCAATTCACTCTAAACTGCTCCGAGCTGGTTTTGTTCGTGATTAACTCGAGGTTACCATGTATTCGTGGGCTGCACCCCATCTGTACACTTAATTATCCTAAGTGTATTCACATATTTAAATTGACTATTTTACATGTCCTAAAAATAGGGAGCCAGGGTGGGGGTTAATAAACCGGGAAAAGAAATCCTAGATCAAAGTGTCAAATTTACAAGGAAACAAATTCCCTGAAAGTAAAGTCACAAAAAAAATCACTGTGTTGTCTTCTGAATACACTCAATCCACAGCAAAGTCTTTATAGGGCATGATAGTGATTGTGGGTTAAACTCACAAGCATTTCCTCACTGCTAAATCTGATCTTTCCACTGCATGCATAATACAGAGGTGTGTGTGTGATGCTGCAGCCTTGCAAAGTGAAGTTTCTCTCATAAATGTGTGACTATAATGTCAGAGAATATTCAAGTTTTTTACTTGTAGATTAATCTTGGAAATTAAATTCTCCACTGGCTCCTTTTTCCCCCCTATTACAATGGACCTTATGTGCGGTTGTACCTTCAAATCTTCATCATATTACACAAAAGAGTCCATAAAATACATAAGAGATTTGAACTACAATAAGAACACTGTAGAGATCATTTACATATTTACTTAATGCGATGCCAACAAGCCTCCCTGGCTTTGTCGGCCACCACGATATTAGATTTAGCCGTTAACTTGTCTTTACAGTCATCATATCCTGACACAATCATTCATTCTTCTGGAGAAATATGGAGCATGCAAATGCGAATGCAACTACTATTAAAAAGGTCCAGTTAGTAATATTTCTGATGCTCTATTGACAGAAATGCAATATAAAGATCCATAACTATGTTTTCAGTGGTTTATAAAGACCTCATATAATGAACCGTTATGTTTTTATTACCTTAGAATGAGACATTTATATCTACATAACCGCGGGCGCCCCCTGCTGTGGAGGTCGCTGTATTTTGTTGTCATGTTCTGTTTGTCAGACTTTAGCGATGCAAATGAAAACGGTTGTTTGAGAGCTTTAGCTAGTAGCTGGCCAGCGCTCTGTTTTGGCTCTTTATGTTATGTTAGTGAGAATCAGCTGATCGCTAATTGGCAATAAAACAGCATCTTCCAGCATCAAAGCTCAGATCAGACAGCTAAACTTTTACTGCGCTGTAAGAAAAAAAATTATGTAGTTGGATTGTAATTTCTTCTCCAGCTTCTGTGGACAGAAATGTGCCTTTACCTTCCTGAGACAAACAGCTGATGAATATTACTGGCAATAAAACGGTAACAGCAGGAAAGCTCAGATCAGCAGCTAAACTTCACATTTTACTGCCCTGGTGGAAAACATGCATTTGTTTTTACTGCTAATGGTGATATTTAACAAGACTGTAAGTAACAAGTAACCAATAATGAATACTTTCCGAATTTGCATAAAAAAAAAAAACTTATTGGATATTGCTTCCCACGGTGCGCACAAGTGTGTAATTTGTACTTTCACATGCTAAATGCCCATTAAAAACGCTGCACCGTTTTACCACAAGCTGAAATTCAGTCAGTACGACTGTGTTTCTGTTGCATTTCAAAAAAAGACATTTTGGTAATATTTGCATGCATATCTAATGATCCTCCCCAGCCAATGCCTTTGTAAACTTTATGTATTATGTGGTTTATAATGGGCTGTGGTGCAGAAACCGTGAGGCTCAAATTGTCCTGGTATCAGTGGTCATACTGGATGCACAGATGTGATCATTTGAGAATTTCTTCATTTTCTTCTATGTTAGTCCAGATGAGCCAACCCTCCCAAGATGTAAAATAATATAATACAGGAGTGTGAGACATCATGTAGCACTTCATTTCTTCATGTGGCTGTTTTTTTATTAATGAGAGAAGTAACAATAATGTTCAAAAAAACATTTGGTTTTACATAACATGTAATTTCTTAATAAACCTCATTTTCTTTTATCTCATAGATGACATCTTTGTCCCATCTGAGGCATGGCTGTTTTCAGATGCTGGGAACATTGTCACAAAAATGTAAACATGCTCACGTTCCTCCATAATAATAAAATTATTATACAAGTTGCATTTGTCTATTCCATATTTCTACATTTCTTTATGTCAGCTGTATGTTTGTCTATGTATAGCACCTCATCACCAAAACAAATTCCTCCTATGTGTAAAACACTACTTGGCAATAAAGCTCCTTCTGATTCTGATTAAATTCTCTTTTCTAATGACTTGTGAAAACAGATTGTACTTATTAGTGTGGCTGAAAGACAGTCTTTGTAGTGACAGAAGATGGAGAACAGACTGGAGATGGGAGATTATGAAAACTCGGGTGCAGTTTAATATAACTTGAACAAAACCGACTACGTACAATAAAAACCCTGGATCAGCTGCTAGTTAATGTAGCTGCCACAGCACAATTATATTTAATTATCCTGATGTTACACTTGTGAGCTGTCTGTGATGTTTCCTGTGTCTCACTTGGCCCTGACTCTCCCTGCAGCAAATGTTTGTGAACACAGAACTGTCTTCTACAGTCTTTTTACTACGTCTACTAGATATCCATACAACTTACAAGCTCGTCCTCCTCAGTTTGTTCTACTCCTGTGACCTCTTTCTCTTAAAATACTGCAGGGTGCTCGTCTCTCTGTGTGAACATTTTGACTACTTCAATTGTTTATGGACACGTAGCAGAGACACGTACACACCTCCTGGAACATGTTTTAAAGGATAATCACGGACTGAGGCACCATGTTCACCATGTAGCACTAGTACTGGTGCTGCTGGCCAGTGGCAGGTAGAGTACTCAAAATCTTTACTCAAGAAAAAGTACAATTACTCCCATAAAACGTTAAAGGAAAAATGACAAACCAACTCAAGTAAAAGTGTAATAATATATTTCATCTGCTGTTCATCAGGTTTGAAACAGCTGCACCATGGTTATTTTCTAGGGAATGCAGTTTGCTTTGCTGGCTGATTATCTTTAGTTATTTCTGTTCTGTAGATTATTGATCTTGCTCATGTTTTTGGTGAACTGATCGTGTCCGTTTGAACGTGAACTAGGGGGCAATAAAACAACAATGTTAATTATAGTGATGCAATCTTCCTCAATAAAAATATACAAATGTTTTAGCACATTCTTTTCTATTAAGATATTTATTTTGTTGAGGAAAAGAGACTGAAAAAAGATTTGACATTAATTTCTCATGCATATTTGTTGTTTCGGATGTTCTACCTCAGCTCTGTGAAGTGATCCACTGTTTGATACCAGGCTGCTTTTTAGCATCAAGTGTTTGTCATGTTCTGACCATAAAGAAACGTTTCAAAGCACAATTAACCATCTGGTTAGCCTTTAAAACTTGTAAAAATAATGATTTTACTGTTTTGTCCCCCCTTTCGCCCAGTCCTTACTCACACACTGCTGTGTTAAACTCAATATAAACCACTAAAATAACAGAAAAGAGTGACTTACACATTATAATGAAAGGTAGCAAGAAAACGATGTTGGACAGAACTTAAGTTTCACTTTCACTCCCCGGCCGAGCTAATACACAAGCGCACCGCTGAAGAGAGCTAAATAACCCATGGAGGGAAACAACGGTGAAAGACACATTTTACAAAGATGTAGGCTACATTCGTTTGAACTAGACAGAATGAGGAGATCCCAATCTTGCAGCTAACGTAAACGTAACATGAGAGTTATATTAATGGCGGGGTCTCGCATTGTCAGTTACTAAAAGAAAAATCATACAAATACACGCTAATTAGGCGTTTTAGGCGACTGCGCGTGACAATTTTCCCACCGGTCTTACACACGCCATCGGTAAATTTAATACCTACAGCAAATTTACTGTAAATTGAATGGATTTCAATTTAAGACTATTTAAGGAGCCAGCGGGAACCCTAACATCACGCGGACATGCCAGTCACCACGCCACTGACAAACAATCGCGTGTCAACTAGCCAGACTTAAACCTTGGAACCTGTAAGTGTTGTGTGTTGTTTTACTGTTTTCTGCCATCCTACTGTAGGGTTATGTGTACAATATACAGTACGTTGAAATATTTGAGTCTCTCCTCCTCTAACACTCATTATCTCACTGCAAACTTTTGATAAAACTTGAACCCTGTCTAACACTAATACAGGTCACTGCATCAGTTAGAGTCTCTGGTGAGAAAAAGGCACCGTGGAGGAAAGTCCCACAGAACAAACTTCAGAAGAGGATGTGTTGAAAAGCTGAGCAGCAGTGGAGGAAAACTAAACTCCAGACTGACTCTGATCTCTACAAAGAGTCTCCACAGATACTATTTAGAGCTGAAACCTGCACGACGATCATTCAGAGAACAATAATGCAGGCAGACTGTTTGTCACTGAGAGAAACTCACCAACACACGAGCAAATATAATGACTCTGCTTCATTTTCACCATCATTGTTTGTTCTGCGCGCTCCCGACACAACACGGGCCGCACCGCGCATGCGCCGCGCGGGAAAACCCACAGCACAAAGAAAAGAGAAACGCCATCTTGAAGATGAAAACAGGAACCACGGAGACACTTTGGAAATCAAACCACGTCAACACAAACCCTGGAGCGGGTTTTCAGGCTCTGATCTCTAACAACAGAATGAACGGATGATACACGGACCCTCGAGACTCTTCCTCGTGTCTTTAGTCTCGTGATGAAGTCATGAACACTGACCTGAACATCGGCGCTATCAGAGCACGAGGCTGCTGTTTGGCTCCTGCGGTCCGGGTTCTGGTTCTCCATCGTCCTGCAGGTCTCCGCTGTGACTGGTGGACCGTGTTGTCCTGGACTGAGTCTGGATTCTGGTCTCGGAGCTCTTCAGGCTGAGATACAGGAGCGCTGCGGGATCCCGCGGAGTGTTCTCGCGATGTCACGGCGTCTCGCCCCGCCCCTTAGTTACTGTCGCTAAGGCCGTTTAGAAACACGGCTCCTTGATTTCAGGCAGAAGATGAAGTTTAGTTAGTTGGTTTCCTGAAACCAGCTGATCATATTTGATGTGTATGAGGGAGTGTGCTTCACACAGAGCAGAGTTTTAATGAAGCGCTTGTTATTATCACATCAGAGGCTCATGAAAATATCCTGCTGAAGCTTTTTGTACAACAAAGACAGAAATAACTTCATGTGTTACATTTAATGTTGAATTTACAGGAAGGCAGAATCATTAAGAATTAGTCGTAGACAGCGTTTCACAAAGTTTCTAAAGTGTCCTCTAACTCAACAAGTCACTAAACTGCACGATTGTTGAAGGGAGTCTGGGACTTTCTCCCCGGGCCACAAAGGAGTAGCTATATTACGGTTACTGTTTAAATGGTGAAATCAGATAAAACAGACAGTTTGTTCACAAACATCTGCTGCTTCTCTCGGCAGCTAAGAGAGTCCAAACACATCATTAACATCACAGTGAAGCTGTTTGTTCACTTAACGGGCCATCGTGTGTTTGTCCAGGTCGGCTCTCTATTCAAATGGGGATCAGCTGCTTGAAAACCCTGCTGGTAAAACCAGCATAACCAGCATAATGCATGCTGGTTTTACCAGCAAGACCAGCATATGTTGTGTTCAGCATTAAATATACCAGCGTGGGATGCTGGTGCTGGTATGCTGGTTACTAAAGATGTTGAGGATAGTAGCTTGTTCACCAAGGAGGGATGCTGGATGCTGGACAACCGCATTGAATTTTAGTATAATGAAAATGATGAAGATATTATGCTTCTTTGTTTCATGTATGTTAGTAACCACCAAAATAAAGACATAAATGTTTTCAAAACAGTATTTTCATTTAATAATAACAAGAACCAATAAACAATTACTGTTTAACATAAAAAACAAGCAAATCACAACATCGTCAAAATGAACAAAACTTAAGTACCCTTACATTGCATGGCACTTTGAGTGCTCTTATTCTCACTGAAGTGGCTTTTGTTTGTTTGTTTGTTAATGTCCATAATTTTTTCAGTTATGAAACGTCCAGCCTTTCCCCATCTGGCCTGCGTCTCCGTCTCCTCCAGATTCTTCCGACGCAGCCACTCTTTGTAACAGACTGAAAAGAAATACACAGATACAGTGTCACACCAGAACAAAGAAAAATGTAAATCAAATAACCCAGCACTTGGCATCCCACAAAGACCTTGTGGCTACTCCTACCTTTTAATGTGTGTAGTTTCTGTGGGGTTAAAGGCTGCCTGGTGGTTTTGGTGGAGGGGCATTCTTTCTCCGTGAGGCTCCTTTCCCCCAGGGTTTTAGTGCCCCACATCGCCACTGCCAACTCTTTCACAAATAACGAATCCCTGGTGCTATTCTGGATCCTGGACCACGTCTCTTTTCGAATGCTTACTTCCCCTCCCAAGTGAATCTGGCAAAAATCCAAAACAAAAATAATAAAGGTATTAGATTGTACTTACATATAGAAGTCAGAAACACTTGAAGTGTAGTTGGGGTTCTTACATTAACCCATGCACACAGATGCTGAGGGCAATGTAAACATGTTGTAAACAGGACAAATCCTGTACCTCGTCTCCTTTGGGAGAAGCAGAGGGTCCCACCTCATCTGCACAGCCAGACTCTGCAACTATATAAAGCATAATGTAAACATCAACACAACCTGCAAATTCATCCATTTGCAACCCTGTACTTGTTTAATGCGGGCCTCGATAGTTTTCATAGATCTGTGAGCAATATATTTGTTGCACTTACTTTTTAAGGCCTTCTCTGGGCTTTGTGATACAGGATCTTTGAGAGAAAAAGAACACATATATTACAAATTTGAGAGATGATGAAAAACATGACAAAAAATATTGTAAATCCCCCAGATATAGGCTTCCCTAATTGCATATCCAAAGCTAAAATTTGAATTTGCTTTATGCATAGCTGCTATTCCTTGAATGTTTATGTTATGTCTTCATTTCCTGGTTCAATCTGGATACCGAGGCATTCCCAGGCCAGGTAAGATTTATAATTCCTCCATGGTCCCTATAATTACCCCATGCTCTCTCAAAAGTCGAATGTGCTTGGAAACCCAAACCTGATACCTGCGTTCTCAAAATCCTGAGACAGCAGAGTAAAATGTGTGCCAATCAGCCCCACCCTTACGAAATTGACCATAGTCTTACTATATATACTATAAGAATTATATAGTGTCTTGTAGTAAGTTTCTAAAATGTTCAATAGTGTTTTTCACCAGCTACGGTATAGATATACTTTTTTTTAGTTCTGTTTTATTAGCTGTGGGAGCCCTATAATATTTCAATTGTAATACTTATGTACCTAGATCTTTGCAGTATTCCTATATTATTTTAAGAAGTATTACTGTAGAATGTAATGTAGTGTTTGTGTAGTTATTTTTTGAAAACACCATAGAACATTCTTATTGTAATATTATGATGATGATAAAGTGAATTTGTAGTTTACTATAGTCATTTCCTGAAAAAAAATAATATGGGAAATACTATAGAGATACTATATAAACACTATAGTATAACAGTAACTTTACTTTTTACCAAAGCCAACTCTATAATAATACTATAGTAATTTTCTATAGTGCGTTCCTGTGTTTACACATCAGCAGACAGCACACTTAAACATCGACATACTGCACGTCTAAGTTGCCACAACAGTCAGTAACAGTAGTTGTTGACTGTATGAGAACTGCAAGAGATGAAGAGGGAGAGACGGCCCCTGGATGAGAGAGAGATGTGACCCACGACCTGTTCCTTAGAATTTATAATAACTGCAGCGTGGTTAGGATCCAGATGTTTCATAGAAGAGACACGTTCTGTCTGCCACTGTTAACAGAGACCTGTCTGTAGTGGAGTTCAGACACTTCACTGATAAACCACAGAGCTGTTGATTTAACATTAGGCTTCATGATCAGAGAAGGTTTTTATATCATGTTTTCACGATTTCAGCGTACTGCACTGTATCTGAATGTAGTTGTTCTTATGGAATCAGATTATGGGGCAAAATTGTGAGCAAAATAGAAATGTTGATCATTGGTTATGAAATTGTGCCACAGATAAAATACCACTAAATTACAAAATAAATCATGTCATTAAGAAGCTACATTTTCAGCTGACAAATTGCATTTTTGTTTGAATGGCATCCTCAGAACTTAGTAAAAATGAGGGGGGAAAAAAAATCTGTCCTCACCATTGCATTGCACAGAGTTCAGTGATTTCAGCAAATGTTGCTGCAGTTGTATGTTTAGCGCTCGTAGTGTGCTATTCTCAGCCTCGACTGCTGCTGTGATCTTCTCCTGGTCCGACAACCTGTTACAGAGGGAAATATGTCATAACTACCTGTGATTGGAAGAAACAATAAAAATTATATTTTTTGTGAAATATATAAGTTGAAGTTATCTGCAAAATGAACTTTTTGTCTACCAGCCAACGGCTAATGAATGTTTAAAGTTTTCAAGTAGGTTAAACAAAACACTGGGCTAAAGATCAAATTTCAAGCCATTACATTAATAAAAAAACATTCTTAATGCTGTTCAAAACTCCCTTACTTGTTTTTGGTTTCCTGCAGTTGAAGGGACACATCATTAAATTTCTTGAGGTAGAGGCGTTGTTTTTGTTTTGCATCCTCAAAAATTTTTTGAGGAACAACCCCACCATCATCATCATCATCGTTGTCGTCTGCTTCGGAGAACGTATCTGATAAGATATGCTCTCTCATTTTCTTGCTTGGAGGTGGGCAGAGCGGAGACAGTTTTTTTTTTTCATTTTTCTTTCCTTAAGTAACGCCATGAGATTGGGGTTTTTTTGCCTCTTCTGCTGCTTTTTTCTGATTTTTCTGGAAACATGGATAAAAGCATAAATATAAAAAGGCATCACACTATAATACAAGAGTCCCATACAAACAAACCAAACAAACAAAGCAATGTGAAAACAATATATGGTTAATGGATAGATTTGGAGCATGATATTATTACCATGTGAAGGTCAGAAACGCAAAAACACATTGCAGTACAGATTAAAGTTCATGTCAAAGTTGTATTTTGTAACTGTTAGTTTGATCCAAGTGCCACAAGATGGCAATAGCTGTATTATTTGAAGCCATCAACGTTACATTTATGTTTTTGGCTTCCTCTTTCTCGGAGCGTGCCGGTGGGGTTGTGGTCTCCTTCACCCGTCTCACACGGACGCGTTTCCCCTTGGACAGCTGCTCTTCCACTTCTTCTCTCGACTCTGGAATGTAAATCACACTGGATGTTAGCACTTGAAATCACCTGCTATAACGTTACGTACTGTTGTTACACACTCCGTTTGCCGTCCTAAGAATAAAGTGTTGAAACTCAGCGGCACTAACGTTAGCTTGCCACCATTAGCTAGTTAACGTTAGCTAGAACGGCTAAACGCGTTAGCCAAAACTCACATCAGTTAAAAACGTTAGCATTAGATAAAAGGTATCCAAGTTTGCCATTTAATTACTCTTATTATGTTCCGAACTATTGGAGGTAATTACTCACCCTTCAGGAACAATACTTGGCCTTTAAAATAGTCCTCCTGCCAGCGCACACAGTAGATCTTATTGCTATTATCACAGTTGCTGTCAAAGTCCTTAATGTAAGAAATAGGGACGATTTCTTTACACCCGTCTTCTATATATCTTACATAAGCAAACATATTTGTTAGTGACATTTATAGCGGAGTTATGATATAATTATATTTTCAAAGTTGATAAGTAACGTTATTCTAAATCTATCGTGTTAAATCCTATTGTAAAAGTACCAAGTAACTAACGTAACGTTAACCAAGTAATTTCAACGGCGGGAAGCACGCGAGTGAGATGCCCTGTTGCCTTGGATACAGTCTTAGATGTCTAAGACACACTATTCTACTACAATCTGTCAGATAAAGTACTGGGGTTGATTAAACTTAAACACATCTGTAAAACACAGCCCTTTTACACAGTCACAGTATTGTACCCTTCAGTAGGAGGATTTTTACAGGACTGTAGTATTGGGCTGCAGTTGTACAAAGTAATCTGGCAACTGAGAATATGTCACAATTTTTATTAGTGCCACAACCCCAAAACCCTAGTCCGCAAACGAATGGTTAATTTAAACTAACTAGTTCAGTTTGTTCAGGCAGTGGGAGGATTAGAGGACATTTCCAACAATGTTTCCTTATCAGTGAGTTTTTTTTAAGGGGTGTGTGAGTCTCAGCTTTTAGTAACTTAATTATTGTTTAAATTCAACATCCTGTTATTCATGAATATGTCTGTTAATCATGATGTCAATGTTGTTTTTTATTTTAAGAATGTCAAAACCCTAACAGCACAATTAAATTACCCCGTGCAAGACTGAAAAGAGGACATAATGTAAGTAATTCCATGAGAAATAATTATTGTAATTTGTAGGACAATAATTATTCAAAGGATTAATAACTTTAGTCTTTTACCTGATGATCTGCTTTAAAGATGGTAGATGGTTAAAATTGTTTTATTTTTTCAGGCATTGCTCTTCACAGATGACTGCAGATTTGATCTTGATCAAGGAGGATCACACACTGCAGATGTTGAGGTGAGAATTCCTGTATGTTTTCATATCGCAATGTATATCGCAGAAAAGAAAATATTGCAGTGTCATTTTCCAAAATTGTGCATCTCTAATTGTGTTTATGCCATCTTTTCTTCATATTGTGCAGACCATGTCTACATCTGGCCACTTGAAGCCTACACAGCAATCTGATCCAGATCACACGGCTGATCAGGTGAGCTCTACAACCAAACCGTGGGTGCGAGGTTGTCGGATGCTGCCAAAATGTTTTTCTAAATTAAACTTCTGTGTGTTTAGGCCTTGCCCTATGCAGAATACAGCTTCTGGATCAGATACTGCAGATGTTGAGGTGAGAGAGTAATATTCTCTTTGTGGCTAGTGGTCATTTTCCACTGTGCCTTACCACTTTTAATACTGTGTGATTGTGCCATCTCTTCTTTATCCTGTGCAGACCATGTCTCCATCTGGCCATCTTGATCTTCAGTTGGATCCAGATGACACAATGGTGAGCTCTTCTACCAACCACATCTGAGGGTTGTTTAAAAAAAGATTGTCTGTTAAGCCAGCTTAATTTCAAATTCTACTTTATAAAGTAGGTTGACCAGGTTCCATGGAAAAGTATTGTTTGGACTAGTCTAATCCTGGTCAAGCTAGTTTTGAGGCTTAGCTTCAACTCAGACTCATCCAGTGCGACAATCTACCAGCAGTCCAGCCTGTATGACTCTCCATATTCCAAGTTCTTCCTAGTGAAGAGCTCTGTGGATCAAATCATACAAGTTGCAAGGATGTGAAATTAAGCAGAATTGAGGTTCCTTATAGCAGCAGGAAAAGAAGCTGTTTTAAACTGGATTGTTATGATGGACAAGGACCTGTAGCTCCTCCCAGAGTATATATATTATTATATATTCAAACATTCAACAATGCTATTTAGTAGCTTTTGGTACATTTTGTAATATAAAATAAATTATTTATATTTATTTTTTGTTTTATATCAAATATAGTGAAAAACGGGGTGGTCAAAAATACAACAACTGAGCATTTAATCAGCATAAAATGACTCCAAGGAACAGGGCACTCATTATTATTATTACACATTATTGAGAGGCTACTGAAAAGTCTCATGGCTCATGATAAAGGGAAGGCATGTCCAAGCGTTTCCCAGTGTCTAGAACCGCTGTATGTTGCCTCATTGCCAAGTAGGAGACAAAATTCTGTAAGAAACAAACCTAGGGGTGGTCATAAGCGCAAGATTTCAATAATTCTGGAGGGGAAAATAGTCAGAAATGTCAAGAAGCCACATGGATGTTGCTTATGTTTAGCGAAGAAACCCTAAGAACCCAGTCCACAGTTCAACATGGTGGTGGGAGCATCATGCTGTGGGGCTGTTTTGCAGCCTCAGGCCTTGGGCAGGTGTATGGCATCATGAAGGAAGAAAATTATGTTGAAATTTTGAGGAATAATATGCAGAAATCTGCTCGTAGTCTATTCTTAGGTTGTCGCTGGGTCTTCCACTGGGGCTAATAATTTTGGCATCAACTGTAGGTCAAAAACTTCACCAGGTATTGTTTTTATCAAGTTTGAGTTAGTCTGTCATATGAAAAAGTTAAATCCTAGTTCAGTTTCTTCAAGTTTAAGTAGACGTTTTGGCTTTGTTCAATAATCGTCACTTATTATCTACTCCCTACACCCTGTCTAGGGAGTTCTATGTAGAAAACTGTATTTTAAGCTCACCGGTAAAATGAAAACAGGGCTTATCCTCTAGGCACCATTAATTAAGTCATTGCTGTCGTACAATTAAAATGACCAATTTTTTATATATTGGTGCAATGTGTGATAGTATATAGGCTATGGATTAGTTATTGGTCATTCAGCTGTCTGTAAACAGAGCGAGTGAGAGAGAATAAGCATGTGTATTTTACATTACACATAATCTGCCTCAATGACTTTTTTCAAATGTATGTTATTCACATCTAGTTTATCCTTTTACCAGCACTCGTTAATTCTAACCAAAGCTACAAGAAACCATTTAACCACCATCGGTATAAATCATCCCGTCTATGATGCAGTGACCTGCTGTTGAATGCATTTAATACTACAGGACTGTCTACGACAAGGACTTGCAGCTTCAAGATCTCATTTTACTATAACTACAACATTGCACATTCACTTTCACAAGAGGAACTAGATAAATTTGTTTGGCAGGAAGCCGTGGTTTAATCATTTCTGACACACCAACTGTAACTACTGATATATTTAGAATAAGTTAAGCACTATAAATCCAATTAACTCATATCGGCCGATAAATCGGTTACGCTCTATCTGGGATAGTCCACTTAGTTCACTTGGTGTATGTTTTGTTGAAATTGTTTTCTAAATGTCTCTTTGTGCTTTCAGATACTACCTTTTGCTGTCAACGGGAGAGAAAATGAAAGTGAAGTCAGACCAGGTTCAAGCTGCACAAATCACGAGGTCAGGGCAGGGCACAACCATTACTGTGACACTGGTCAGGCATAAGTTTTACTGTCATTGTATGTAGACATACACTCATGAATGTGTTTTCTTGTCATTTTGTAGCCCATGTCTTCATCTGATCACCTTCTGCTTACATCTGAGCTGCAGTCAAGTGAGATGGCCCAGCAGTTTGATTGTGATTCATCATCTGAAAGCAGTGTTTCTGGAGTTGATTCAGAAATTCCAGATCTCCCAGAAGATGATCCATTCAGACAGATAGGTTTTGACACAGACATGGATTTGGTACTAATGTCAGCAGGTACAACGACAGAGGCTGAGGCACTGCTCATGGTGATGAGTCATGCAGCAAGGCATAATATAACAGGAACACAACTTGATGATTTGTTAAAGCTCATAAATACTCTGTTTGGCAAAGAGGTAATACCCAGATCAAAATATCTGTTCAATAAGGTCTTTAAAAACAACTCAGACATAGTGGAGTTCCACTTCTACTGCAAAACCTGTAAAGTATACATTGGCACACAAAAAGACATAGATAAAACATTGCTCAGTGTACAATCTGTAGTGCTCCCATTGAAATCAGTTCCTTGAACAGTGCAAGCTTTTTTATCAACATACCAGTTGCACCTCAAATCCAGACAATGCTTGAAAATCCTCAGATTCAAAAGAGCATGAGCTACAGACCAAAGGCCACAGAATGAACACATCATCTCTGACTATATGATGGTGAAAAGTATCAAAACTTGTCAAAACCAGGTGGAATTTTG